ATACACTTTCCCAGAATTTGTTCCCACATGATGAAAAACAGATTAAAAGAGTTGCGATTTTATATTCCCACCTCAAGATAACTATAGGTGTCCTTAGAAGAGGCATATACAATGAAATTGATATTGATAAATTGTTTGGAACATCTTGTGAGGACATGAGCTCAGTTCCAGGCCTAGCAGTTAAATAATAAACATCTTAGTTACAAAGTGCTCCTCTCCAGTGCATTATTCTCTCGGATTCGGTGACCACCCTTACCAAACTGTTTTTTTGTGGCAACTAGTGCGCACGCTTGTGGCAAGCATAGCGCAAGCATATCTGATTGCCAGAACATTCTGGCAACTACTTAGTTATTTGTGGCAACATTGCCACAACACAGAGTAAACATAATTTTGTGGCAACTATGCGGCAAAAGTGGTAATTTATATATTGGGCATAAGTGTATGCATACTCACTTGGGTCACTCTACTCTGATAAGTCAGCTCTCAGTCTACATATGGTGGCAGCAGTGGGATGCGAGATGTGAGTCGTTTACTGAATGGGGTGCCAGAACAGAGAATTTATTGGAACATTTGTTGGAAGCAGCAGAAGTTGACGGTGTGGAGAGAGTTATATAGAGAGTTCACCTTATGAATTGAAGAAATGGACTCGGGAACAGGAACCTAAATCAAAAGGTGGGGTCATTAAATTAGCTGAGCAATATATTGCTGCTCATGGTAAACCTAAAACAGATAAGTCAATTGTATCAAATGGAAAATTTAGAAAATGGCAATCTAATTCATTAAACCCATGTTAGAAGTGTGGTAAACATGTTCTATGAATCTTAGACCTAGACCAAATACTGGATCAGGCAAGGGGAGTGAGTTATTTTATTATGCAGGTGAATCAAAAAAAATGTAGGGTTCATATGGTAGTTTTATGAATGTGTAAGGGACTGCTGAAATGACAACCAGTGATAGTTTGACAAGATACAGGGTGTACTCGGACATTGATAAGGTCAAGGTTTGTAATAAGATGTGCATACTTGTTGGGACAGTGTGTGTGTGTTAGTAGTACAAGGCAAGTACTCATGGCAAGAGTACATATGTAATTTTTATAAAGGAAAACTGGATGTAGGTGTTTTAGATGCCTTAGCTGAAGATGTTATCTTGGGTAATGAGGTAATCATGATTAAGACGGGATTTGATAAAATTGCAGCAATCAGATGCAACATTGAAAAAGATGCGAAAAGCAATAGTGCTAGAAAATATGATAGCAAATATAGCTTGCATTTTCTGGAAGGATGGTCTATTATTTCGTCAATGGAGACCTATGAACTCGGAAGCAGGTGACTCAGTTGGTGGTTCCGTTACTGACAGTAATGATATTCCTTTAGCTAGTCATTTAGAAATAGAGAAGATAACACAAAGGTTATTGCAACGTATTTATTGGCCAGGAACATTTTCAGATGTGGAACATTATTGCAGAACGTATGCCGAATTCCAACAGTCTGCTAGGATATTGGCTCATGAAAAAGTGCCGGTGATATTAATGCCAATTGTGGATGTACCATTTCAGAAAGTAGTGATAGATATGGTAGGCCATTACTAAAAGGTGGAAATGGTAATAAGTATGTATTAATGTGTGATTATACTACTAAATATCCAAAAGCTTTATGGAAGCTGAAACAGTAGCAGATTAAAATGGGAGATAAGATTGGAGAGATTATGGAACTAGTGGAACACAGTCTAAACAAAAAAAAAATGGTACATGCAAAAAATCGTTATAGATAGATGATTTGATATTGGTGAAAATACGACAAAAGTCACATGACAAGGATCATTTCAAGTCACAAGAAGATGACAACTGTAGATTATGAGATGAATGTTTTGTGGATATAGTAGAAGTAGTCATTGAAGAAAATGGTGATTTAAGACATGTCTTGTCGATATAGTAGAAGTGGTTAAGGAAGAAAATGGGGGTGTTGGACACGGGGACAGCTTGCTATTCCGAGTGTGCATTGGCCCAAGGTTCATTAGTTCAACGGCCTCAAATTACAAAGGAATCCCATTTATTGTTAAATTTTGAATGCATCTTGCAACCTCAATATATTGTCTTCATTCCAAGAAAATCGTCGGACTAATTTAGAAGTTAGCTTGTTTTTATTTGTTTATTTTTCATGCGTTTGTTAGCTAAATTAATAAAACATTATCGCCCTAAAATGCGACCAAGTTGAATATGACCGTGGGGAGAGAACTCTTGAATGCTATGAGGTACCAGGGGCGGATACAGAAATTGTTTATGGGGGGGGGGGCAAACTTTAAAATCGCCAGAGTAAGTTAATGATTTTTTTATATTATACAAAAACAAATTGAATACTTAGTACATTTTTTAGTTTTGCAGATGATGTTGTGGAGAACAAATTTTTAGCCAAGTAGTATACTGTACTGGCAAATTGTTCATAATTATTGCTGTTTTTTCAACTTATTTAATTCAATTAGTGGTATGAGCCCTAAAGTACACGAGTGAAAAACAGCGCCACCGGCGACATCAACATCACCATCAACTTAGGTGTACCAAAATCGTGCTGTTTTCACTTTGCTTAGGTAGTTTCAAAAACAAAATGGGTGCATGATCACTACATTTTTATGTCGCTGGCATCGACTGCATCACAGAGTAACTGTAAATAAATAAATAAATATTCGGCTCATGATATGAATGGATGCATTGTGAAAGGAATATTACGGAAATCCAATTATTGTGGAGGCGTGGTACCCAGTGGTCGCTTAGCCACGTCGTTGACAACAGTCTTCGCAAGTAAGAGCCATGTTCCTGTTTCTAATCATATACAAAGAAGAAATCTGTTTGGAATCTTGAATGCCATATTTAATAGGCAAGTATACATTTAAACTGTTCAGTTACCTTGGATCATTGTAATGTTGTTGTTGATGAAGTGGTTGCTGTGGTCGTCCTAGTCTAGATCGGTAGCGGTGGGTATTGTATTGACACAGATAAGTCCAGGTTCCCTTAGACTTGCGTAACACAAACGTGCGATGGCATCGCAAATAAAAATTGATAAAAGTATACCGGTACATCATATCACACAATCGAAACTATCACCAATCGATAGTATGTTTATTAAACACTCAGCAGCGTTAAAACCCTTCTAATATAGGTCTGTTTGAAGTTTTTTTTCTAGAAACCGTACGTAATTCTTGTGAAAGATATTTTCTTGAGGTCAAACGAGGACAAAACTACTTGGCTAAATAACGCCACTGTATACTTACCTTAGAAAACTAGCTATAAACAGCTGTAACGCCAGGAGATGTATGTTATTTGCCGTGAAGTCAAACTACAGGGTGTATGTGTGTAGGGTAGGGTGGCATAGCTGGCACATCAGCAGACATGTACACAGGGTTTAGTCATCTCAGTAATGACATGTTATTTGATCCACTTGTTTCTTCATAATCTTTGATTGAAATACAAAATGTACAGTACAGGATGTTGGTTTCATTTTTACAATTCATGCAACCATAGGCTGACCATACATTAACCTTTATTATATTAGAGTACATGGCTACAAAGAGTGCTAATGAAGGGAATTGTTCTCACCCTGGTTTACTTGTAATTTGTGCTAAATAAATTCTACGTAAAATACAGTCATAAATCACAATTCAATTTCTGGGCAGCAATCACTGATTCAACTATGAACAACTAGTGTGTTTAAATTACATGCATTTAATATGACTTATTAATTTTCCACCGTGTGTTGATGGTGTTGTAGTATATTGATAAATGAAGAACCATTTCAGTAAATTTTGTTTGGAAAATGACTCTAATTTGGGAATAGTTGACTGTAGTTATTGCTCTTCCTAAAGGGTATTGCATGTATCCCTTTGAGGATTGGGTCATTCCAGTTTCTATCTCCACTCTGGTAGGTTTTAAGACCACATTCCGGTGATGAGACTGGCTTTCCTGATCATGGAAGGTGGAATATTAATTAATCACTTGAGATACTAATAATGTCCTGTAACCATGGCAATGTGTTTCCAGGGTTGATTATGGTCGAATTAGTGATGTAGGTCCTGATAGGGCAGCAGCTGAATGGTTATTGCGATGTGGTGCTCATGTAAAATTTAAAGACTTCCAGAAATGGAATGAAGATTACAATATGTTACCAACTGGACCTATAAAGAAACATAAAATAGAAGCAGTGGATGCAACAGATTCTAGTATTATGCATATTGGTTTTCCACATTTTGGTGAGTGATAAGATGACTTATATCTGTCATAGAACTTAGCAGTATTGACACCTCTAAGTGTGGAATTATAATGCTAATATAAAAAAGATTGCTTTGATTTGTGGTAAATAATGGTCGAACAAATTACAAAACTGTTTTTAGCTCCAATTTGCGGATTTGTATCAAATTTTGGTACCTTAATTGGGGTGATGTCCAGACATGATTAGTTTTTTTTTCCATGCATATTAAGTAGCTAATTTGTATATTATCTCATTTCAGCCTGATAAATTTCACTATATCTTTGAATGTCTGGCTATATAGCCTGTTTAAGCAAAATCTCAAATTATAGTTTAGGATACACTTACCCACCATTAGGTCAGCTCAACTTGACAAAACTGACATAATTGAATATTAGAATTTCAATAGTTGAACAATTTTAAAAGCTTGATATGAAACAGGGTCAATAATAATGTGCTAGCAATATTAAGTCACATACCACATGCTTTACAGAACTTGTTTGGTCGTACATTGATAAGTAGTAATGAGTATATTCAGTGTCAATCACATGCTTCACCTGTGTGTAGCACATGTCAATATCACAGCAACCTTATCATAAAGAAAAGTGATTTACAAACTTCTGGTGATTAAGCTAAAAATAAATTTTGTCCCCCTAGGTATACACAAAATAAGTATGTTTTGTTTGTTGTAGCAAAATTACACTTCTCATTAAACTTGTGGAAATTCAAAAGATTTTGTGCCAACAGAACCCAAAGCATAATGGGGTTATTTTTTCAGTGTATTTTTATTGTGCATTATTTCATTACACATCTTGTTTTCTGTAGAAACAATATTTTATGAACTCGTATGTTTCTAAAAAAGCATACATGTTCCATTTACTAAATTTGCAGAAGGCTTAGAGCATCTTCGATCATTGAAGTTACATCATTGTACATACCTGACTGATGAATGTCTAGCATCTCTTCATTATTTGAAAGACACTTTAGAAGATTTACAGGTGACAAGCTGTGGTGATGTCAGTGATCAGGGATTATTATCATTACAACAGTTACAGTAAGTGATGTGAATGGGGAGTGTATCACAGTGTGATGTGTACAGTAAGTGGTGTGGATTGTGTTACAGTAAGTGATGAGAATGTATTACAATAGGTAGTGTGAATTGTATTACAGAAAGTGGTGTGGATTGTGTTACAGTAAGTGATTGGGAATGTATTACAATAGGTAGTGTGAATTGTATTACAGTAAGTGGTGTGGATTGTGTTACAGCAAGTGATGGGGAATGTATTACAATGGGCAGTGTGAATTGTATTACAGAAAGTGCTGTGGATTGTATTACAATAGGTAGTGTGAATTGTATTACATTAAGTGATGTGAATTGTATTACAGTAAGTGATGTGAATTGTATTACAGAAAGTGGTGTGAATTGCATTACATTAAGTGATGTGAATTGCATTACATTAAGTGATGTGAATTGTATTACATTAAGTGATGTGAATTGTATTACATTAAGTGGTGTGAATTGTATTACATTAAGTGGTGTGAATTGTATTACATTAAGTGGTGTGAATTGTATTACATTAAGTGGTGTGAATTGTATTACATTAAGTGGTCTGAATTGTATTACATTAGGTGGTGTGAATTGTATTACAGTAGGTGGTGTGAATTGTATTACATTAGGTGGTGTGAATTGTATTACATTAGGTGGTGTGAATTGTATTACATTAAGTGGTGTGAATTGTATTACAGTAAGTGGTGTGAATTGTATTACAGTAAGTGGTGTGAATTGTATTACAGTAAGTGGTGTGAATTGTATTACAGTAAGTGGTGTGAATTGTATTACAGTAAGTGGTGTGAATTGTATTACAGTAAGTGGTGTGAATTGTATTACAGTAAGTGATGTGAATTGTATTACAGTACATAGTGTGAATTGCATTACAGTAAGTGATGTGAATTGCATTACAGTAAGTGGCATGAATTGCATTACAGTACATAGTGTGAATTGCATTACAGTAAGTGATGTGAATTGTATTACAGTACGTGATGTGAATTGTATTACAGTAAGTGGTGTGAATTGTATTACAGTAAGTGGTGTGAATTGTATTACAGTAAGTGGTGTGAATTGTATTACA